TCTGCTTTTATAAGGCCTGTTTACACCGTGGAGGTCACAGCGAGGCAGAACGTGTCGGCTCCTTCGGACTGGTTCATTAATACCGGCGACGGCCCGGCGTTCCCTCATTTGGGGGCGATATGACTTATTTGTACGTCGCGTGTTTTATCTACGCTGCACAGCCGGCGGCGGCAAGAGAAAGAGACCGAGGAAACTCTCCCGCCGCGAAGTTGGAAGCTTGGGCGGCTGGGCTGGGCGGCAGGCCCAGGCCCGGCCGGGCGCCCTGCGGGTGGGCCGACCCGCCGAGCACTGGCGCGCGCGCACGGCCTACCCGCCCTGCCGTCCGGGGGCTCCTAGTGGGCCCCGCCCGGTACCGCCACCCTCAGCCTAGGATCCGCCTTCTGGTCACGACGAACGACGTCTGGTCAGAACGTCTCCGATTCAGAATATGGGATGCACGAAACAACAGCCATCGTGTGGCGCTTTCTCGGTATTTACATTCGACGCCCGATACTGCGAGTTAAGTTTTGCATTATTTCGATTGTATGCCCGCTCCTTTGTCCTTTCCTGCCACGTGCGAGGAGTTTAATCGACTGGGAGACAAGAAGAGACAATGAGTGAGAACCGGCTGCAGAAATGTCGAGGCGAAGTGAGAGAGGGATTACTCCGTCGTGCCAGAGCCGAGTCCGCGAGCAAGCGGCTTTGGCAAATGGTGTACGCACTTTGTGTGCAGTCAGCCTTACAGGCACATCGGTCTCTCTCTCTGCGCCATACATACATCAATGTCCTTATCCTCCTCCATCTTTGTCACTTGACCAATTTCTCGGAAAGCCGCATGTTTTTTTTAGTTTTATTTTTTTCGCAGAAACTGCAACTCGATACACTTTGTGGGCAGCGCAGCGCGGCGTTACCCGTACGTGACCCACTGTGACAAGGCGTGAAGCAATCTAACGTGACGGTCTGAGGAGTAAAGTTACAAACCACATCAGACGCGTTTTGAACAAGAAGTACGGGCCTCGTTGGCACTAAGCCTGATACATTTATTCTGCGTATACTATTGGATCGCTTGCAGACGTGAGAGCAGACTTGACTATCGTCGCTCAGCGTGGCGCTTTATGAATAAATACCCAAGTTGGGCCCCCTTGGTCACCCCCGGTGCCAGGCCGTTCCTCCGGTTTCGTTCGCTGAACCCTGTATTGTCGGGGCCAATTTCGTACCGACGCTTCAGTCCCCTTGAGACAATTAAGACGAACGGAAGACCGAAGTCTCCAGCACCAGAGGATGGGCATCGTAGCGAGGTAACGACAACGCCAGAGATTGACTCCAGGGGAAAACCTTTTCCTGATGAGGAAAAGGATATGAGGCGAGCCTCACTCCTAACAACATAAAACAGAACTTCGGTACCGATATTCTATATCGTTCTCACAGTAATTCATTGCACACGCAACTAAAAGGATGGGCCGAACACGTATAAAGGTTTTCTGATTTGTCAAGCCTTATTCGTCACCCAGCGAGAATTTACACTAGAAACGCAAGTGTATGTATGTACCACACTTGTATGTGTGTGAATGTCCAGTCAGACACTTGGGTTTCCGGTAGAACTTGGTCGCACAGTTGGTTGACATCCAAGATTGTCAGTGTCCAGAAACAGCTCTGCCTCATCCCCCTTCTTCTTAACCGTTTTCTTTTGCTCTTCAAGTTTTGACAGACTTACCAGATTCAGTCAAGTGAGAAACAAAGCCCGTGAGCGCATAATAAAAACCATAACTTACAGTTCAGGGTGATATTTTAACACCTTGCGACAGCCACCGTTCATAGAAGTCTATACACAAAAGCACGGCACGGCACGGTGTGATTTGGTCCTCCCCTCAACAAGCTCGGAGGCAGGGGATGGGGGG